TTTTTTAAGTTTTGTTTTAGGTTTATATCAGTTTATTGTTCATGTATATTACAATGTATTTGATTTAAACACTTTAATAATTTGGCTGATTTATCTTTCGGTCCAGTGAAGAGTTTTAAACATTCCCATTTTTATTTCCTGTCTTTTCTAGTAGCTGTCATTTATATAATAATATTTATATAATTTGTGTGTGTTAGCAAAATATCTCGCCAACCGCTAGATGGATTTTACAGAATCTTGGCAGCAGCTGTCGGCCTCAGCTGAGCTGAACGTTGGAGCGGTGGTAGCTGCGAGTCGTTCAAAACACGTCCTCTGAGCTCGAACAGACTGGCTTAACAAAAAAAACAAGATTTTTATTGAATCGAAACGACTAAAACTTTAAGATTTGGTGTGACTGTATGGAAGACTGTTAGTGCCACTTTAATTTTATTATTTATTTTACAGAATTATATATTTTTTCCCCCTCAGTTCTAAAATTAAGTCAAAAATTCTAATGTATATATTGAAATATATATTGGCAAGAGTGGTGGCACAGAGGTTACAAAAGGTGGGCCTGTGACTGGAAGGTCGCCGGTTCAACTCCCGGTACGACGACATCAGAATGTGAATGGGAAAGATGAAACTCCCACATCTGTTTCCACGCACTTCGGGCCCTTGAGCAAGGCTCTCAACCCCCACCATCTGCTCCCCCGGGTACCGTAGATGGCAGCTCTGCTCCACACAGAGGGCTGTGGTGGTTCGGTGGTTCTGTGGTTGAGTCGGGAAGGACATCCGGCGTCAAACCAATCTCCAAGTCTTTGTGAGTTAGTTGTGACCCCTGAAGGAGGAGCAGCCGAAAGAAGAACTTATTTTATTTACTGTGACCCTGGTCTATCGTAGAAAGACAATAGATGCAATCTTTAATTTACGTGGAGTACTTTTATTTGTAACCGTAACTAGCGGTGGTTGTTAGCTGTAGCACTTCCTGTACATTTTGGAACACAAATTAAAATAACCTGCTGAAATAATCGTGTGCAGCAGAATCGACGACGGCGTCAAGTTTCTGAAACAGTTCGTCACAAACTTCAATCAGAATTTTGAGTTTTTTATTTTTTTTAACTGCAGCCGTTTTCTTTGTTCTTAGCCGACTTGAATTAGCCGTTAGCTCGTCACTCTGGTCGGAACTGAACCTTCGCCCCAAAAAACTAATGCTTCAAAGAGCCATCTACAACAGGTAGGATATTTATTGTCAATTTATTCACAGATATGAACTATATAATAAAGCTTTATGCAAATCTAGATTAAAACTATTCACTTTAATAATGTTTATTTTCATCCTTGAGTTCTAAACGACGTTAAAACGGCTGCATTTCGGCTGATGTTTATAAATCCCCCGCCTCTATCGGCTGTCGGTTATGCGATGATGGCACAGATGTTTCCAGGATAAACGTGCCTCTCTCATCCTAAAGTCCCGGCCCTGCACGTATTCACAGCAGCAGTCTGTCCGAGTCGATTAGGCAGATAATGAAGTGAGGAGCTCGCCGGACTGTGATTCCAGATGTGGACGCCGTTTACAGGACGCCGGTGTGGCTTTAGGACGGTTTCAAAGAGGTTTATTAAAATAACTAGAGAAAATGCATTTCCTGCGAAAATGCTGCGTGAATGCTTATTGCTGAAGAACTTGATGAAGAACAGCCGAAATGAGCCCAAAACAGGCTGAAATGTAGCTGAAATGGAAGAACAAGCCGAAGTTAGCAGAAAAAAAGCTGAATTGACATATTTGCTGAATTTGGTTTAAATAAGCAGAAATTAGCAGAAAATTAGTAAATTAGCTCAATAAAAAGCTGAAATTAGAGCTAGAAATAGCAGAGTTGTAGCTGAAACAGCAGAAAGAAGCTTAAATGAATAGAAAGTGGAGAGAGCACAACTGTTCCCAATTAGAGTGAAAGAAACAGAAAGGAGCACAAAATGGAAATTATCTGAAATGGTCTGAAAAAAAGCTGAAATTAGTAAAAATCAGCTGAAGTGTAGCTAAAAAAAGGCCGAAAGAAGCTAAAATTACCTGAAGGAAGTGGAGAAAGCACATTTTTGCCGAGTTAGGCTGAAAAAAAGTTGAAATTAGTGCAAAAGAATGTAGAATTAGCTGAAAAAGTTAAAATTAGCATTAAACAGCTAAATAGTAGCTGAAAAAGCTAAAACTTGCAGAAATAAAGTGAAAGGAGCAGAACAAGTTGAAGTTTGCAGAAAGAATCGGAAATAAGCACAAAACAGCTGAAAAAAACAGCTGAAAGTACCAGGAAAAAAAAGCTTAAATTTTCATTTTGTTCTG